GCTCGCCCTGGCCGAGTGGCGGCATTATCTCATTGGAGCCAATCAAACCTTCAAGATCTGGACAGATCATCAGAACCTTCGATGCTTCTGACAACCCCAAAAGCTTAATTGCAGACAAGCCAGATGGGTTATGGAACTATCACAGTATGAGTATACACTCCATCATAAGGCTGGGGTGGTAAACAAAAAGGCTGATCTCCTCAGCCACAGGGCGGATCACAACCAGGGAGGAGATGACAACAAGGAGGTCACATTATTACAACAAGAACACTTCCGAGCAATGATTATGCCTACAGAAGAAGAGATGCATGAATGCATCAAGAGCGCCACTCAGGATCCCCACAAGTGGGATCAATGGATCACCTCATCACTCAACCATGAGCATGGGCTAAAGAAAGAAGGGGGATTGATCTGCTATGATGAACAGATCTACATCCCAAGGGATCAAAAACTATGGGGTGATATCATCGCCACGTGTCATGATCATGTGACCGCCGGACATCCTGGGATCGCAAAGACCAAAGAATTGGTCTTGAAGGAATACTGGTGGCCAAAAATGGACTATGATATCACCCAATATGTCAAGGCCTGCGAAACCTATCAGCGAGGCAAGGCTTCAACACAACCCAGGGCAGCCCCACTACAGCCGAACAAGATCCCTTCGTCACCATGGACCCACATTTCGGTAGACATGATAACCGGACTTTCCAAAAGTGACAGCTATGATGTGATCATTGTCATAGTCGATTGCTTCTCAAAGGCAATCATTCCAATCACCTGCTCGATGGAATTAACATCTGAAGGATGGGCAAAAATACTACAAGATGAGGTTTATGCAAAATATGGCATGCCTCAGGTAGTAATCTCAGACAGGGGACTGCAATTCATCTCCAAATTCCTTGACGATTTATACCGACTCCTTAACATCAAGCGAAATGCCTTAATGGCATATCACCCACAGACAGATGGCCAAACAGAATGGGCCAACCAAGAAATCAAAAAGTACTTGCAGCTTTTCGTTAACTACTGACAAGACAATTGGACAGAATGGTTAGCCCTTGCAGCATTCCAACACAACAACAGAATTCACTCCACAATGGGTAAAACACTGTTCTTCATGAACTATGGATGCAACCCACCAGTTGCACAAGTGGGACGGGTGCACACTACAACACCTGCTTCAATGGACTTTGCAATGACAATGGCAAAAGTCCACAAGGATACAAAAAAGGCCCTTGAAAAAACTGCTTCAACAATGAAGAATCAATACGATAAACATCGACATCCATCACACAAATATTCAGTCAATGACAAAGTTTAGCTGGATATGACAAACCTCCACCTCCTGAGACCAAAGAAGAAACTATCAGACAAACGGACAGGCCCCTTCAAGGTCCTATGGAAAATTGGAAACTCTGCATACAGATTGCAAATCCCGGTGACCTGGAAAATCCATAATGTTTTCAATGAAACATTATTAACACTATATGTGACTCCAGCCTTTCCAAACCAAGAAAAACCACCACCGCCTCCACCAGAACTCATCAACAATGAAGAACATTATGAAATCAATGAAGTTCTAAACCATAGAACCCAAAAAGTTCGAGCACATGGCGGAGGCATGAAAACAACTGTTGACTACCTTGTCAGCTGGAAGGGCTATGGACCGGAATCAAACCAATGGGTCAACAAAAAATACATGAATGTGGAGGATGCCATATGTGACTATGAGCACAGAATCAACACATTGGACTCAAAGGGGGTCATGTTCAATGTTATATCAAAAACATCATCTGACAATGGGTCAAAGTCAGCAATCACAGAAAATGCTATGATGACAACAGGAAGGGAGATTGTATCTAGCCAGATATACATCAACCAACCTGCAATCAGTAGAGGCCATATCACCGAGAATGATGAAGATGACTCTGTGACAAGGGAACCACACCGACCTGCCAACAGCAGAGGATATGTAGCAGAGGACGATGAAGATGGTGGTTGCACTAAACGGGCCAGCAACGATGGGTCCAGCAGATCGGCCACCTCCTTCGGGCAAGGCAGACTTACCCTAACTTAACCATCAGGATGATGGTCTTAAGGAGGGGGTAATGTTATGATTTTTCCTATTTTCTTTTTCTTTTTCTCAGAAATGACCCCTATCTTCACTTAGTCAGGGCGCTTAGGCCAGCACTTAGGACTGTAGGAATGCTTAGCTCAGCAACCCAAGTCGGTCATTCTCCTATCGCATTGCTGTGTGCTGTGAAGGGAGAGACAATACCTCTTTGGTCGCCAACTGGCAGTGCAATGACCACAGCACAACAGCAAGACAACAGCTATTGTGGGAACCTGACAATGATGAAGGGAAAACAGCTTTACAGCAGACAATATCTTTTGTGAACATTTATTTATAGCATGATAACAGAACAGTATATAAGTAGTATAGCTCTCGCTGTAATACCCCAGCTTCGAGCTAAAGTTTATTCTCTACCATCCTATCTCGAGCAACTTGCAATGCCTTGACCACACCACTCTGTTAACACATCAGTGAACTCAGTTGGACATACCTGAAGTGTGAGGTACCAAACTGTTTATCACGTGTTAATAGTCACGTGGAGTTTGGGCTTAACAATATCCTACAATGACATGAGTACAGTCTCTACAACAATGAATGCATCTCAATACAAGATCTGCTCAGCCCAGATGTATCTCTTTCATCTTGTGATAATCTCAGATAGTCTTTGACTATTTCTTTATAAACTGGCATCAAGACCTGTAATATCTGAGTAACAGGAAACATCTGGTATCTTATGAGCAGCTGGATTTGATTCAACTATAACTGGATTATCATAGAAGCAAAATGATCCCTGATCAACAGAGTGAGGATCAATGGTTACATGCTTTGGTAGAGTTGATGTAGGTGTATTTGAGACTGTTGTAGGTACTTCTTGCAGCAGGTCAGTACTTATGATTCTGCTGAGATAAATATCTATATGTAAGCCTCATCAGTTTGTTGTTCTCAACTGAAGTCCCAATGACTGATTGTGCTATCATCCAGACATAGGCCCCCTCAGCTGATCAGAGAGCCAGGGCCAGTTTTAAACTCTGACATGTTGACATGCAGTGTATGTGTCTAGCTCTAAAATTTGTGGATTTTAAATAATACATTTGCATAAGCTGATGTCTGCATAGCTAGCCATTCAAGGGTTATAGCTGAAGCTCTGAGCTGATAGCCATGCTAGCTGAGAATTCTAAGTCCAGTTTTTACTTAGAGCACTAACTTTACATTGAGGTGATAATCCTAAGTTAAATTGAACTTAGTATTTTATCAAAGTGGTATAATTCCTCTAAGTCAGATTGGACTTAGAAACAGTACCATATTTGAGCCAATTCTAAATGCCATAAGAGTTATTATACTATAGTCTAGTTCAGGATATATTCCTATGACTAGCAGTGATACATTAAAGGCAGCTAGCACCTAAACCAGGAGTAGAAAGCAGAGCAGAACTCATTAGCCCATAGCTAGCACCCTAAGTTTGACTGAAAATACATAAAGTGGAAACTTCTCAGTCATGGAGTATCAAATAGGATTTAGAAATGGGACAAGCCACAGCTGCAGTGCTTGGCTGGTACCTCAGATCATCTGTGATCAGCACTAAACAGCCTAAATTACCAATCAATCATGATTGACAAAAACTCTGAATGTAATAAGTGGAACTGTAGCATGATTGAGAGTATAGTAGGTATTTCTGGGCTATGGAGCAGAGCACTGTGGAGCTCCAGAATCACCTAAAAGGGTTATATTTGGTGTGCCAAGATGGAATAATGGCCTGATTCTAGCCTAGTCAATAGAAAATATTAATAGAACTATATTATTTATAGATTCTGTACCTTTTACTCATGTATAAAAGAATGGAAAGAGGGGGGGGAACTGCATGCCAAATGATTCATCCTCATGATTAGGCCTTCTAGCTCACTATAATTAGTCCCTGGATCAAAGTCTTTGTGTTTAACCTTGACTTGAGTAGCTTTTGTTGCTAAGTCACCTTGTACTGAATAGAATTGAAGTCTTAATTGAACTTTTGGTTTTGGCATAATTTGAGTTCTGGCTTAATAAAGGTTTCAGCAGCAGAATACAAGTTCTTTGGTTTTGAAAGATGAGATTGCTGAGTTTGGTGTTATGATTTTTCCACTTTTTCCTTCATTTAACCCCTATCTGGGCTTAGTCACAGTGCCTATACTAGTGCTTAAGACCATGGGACAGGCTTTGTCATCACAACAAGCCAAGTCCATCATTGTCTTCCAATGCAACAACAACACTGATAACACACAACAACTCTTTTGTGGGTAGTAATGATGCTCAAGGACAAGGAGTACAAAGACACAGACAGACACAATTAGTAGTAGTATATTTATCTTGATGATGAACAGTATATAAGTAGAATAGCTCTCACTGTATACCCTCAGCCTCAAGCTAAAGTTTATTCATCTACCATTCTATCTCATGCCTACTTGTATCAGCCTTGAGACACAATGCCACACAAATGCATTCAGTGGACTCAGACATGACTGTATGAAGGCAATACAGCATCTGTTTATTATGTGTTCAGGTCACATGTCACTTGTGCTTAACATTTGGTTGATATGAAGTATTAGCAATATGCGCTGGTCCTGATGTCACACAGCAGTTCATGTTGTGGAAGCTGGTTTTGATTCTTGACCATCACTTTCTCAAAGACATAGTACTTTTCTTTTTGACCTGATACCTGAACCAGTTGTCATACCTTGGGTCTCAGATTGTCATGGTAGCTAACCAGTGACAGATTTCTCTTCAACCAAGAGCTCAAAATATTCCAACAATCTATGTGAACAGTGAGTGTAGTGCCAATGTATAATATTATGAGTAGAAAAATAATTAGTGGTGTGAATGGCAGATAAATAACCAAAACAGAAATCAGCAGCATTTGCAGCATTACACTGTGATCAATTGTGATCTTATTCTTATGACCCAGCTAAAAGAACACAAGAGACACAGCTGGGTTGGAATAAAGAATGCAGGTCTTCTGAGGTCAACCATGGTGATCCTAAGGCAATGGAAAGCACAGACAACTCTACAATGGGTGGATGTCAACAAAAGGTTATATTTGCCCAGGCACCAGGCTGCAACCCAACAAGCTAAAGAAGGAGCACAACAAGATAAGTCCCACACTGTAATGTTAACCATGCCAATCAAATTCTGACCCCAAGGAGCTGAACTGCAGGTAATGATGCAGGCTCTAGCATACAAGAGCCTACTGGAACAGAGAGACAAACCAGAGAGGCAAAGCATGAGTATCAACCTTGATATCATGTGATATGCTGTCAAGGATCACAATGGCCTTGCCCCTACAGATGCAAAGGTCTGGCTCTCGATATGACACCTAGATTTCGGTTGTGAAATAAAGACCTTCCTGTGGAAGAATATGCATGATATCTAAGCCACCAGTGCAAGGTGGGAGAAGATACAAGGGAGAGAGCACCTAGCAATATGCCCAAACTGTAAATCCATGGAAAGCATGGTGCACATCATGGTTGTGTGCAACATCCCATGTCAAACATGAATATGGAAGCTAGCTGCTGCAGTCTGGGACATGAAATTTCCCCAACTTCCCTGGCTCCGATTGACATATGGGATGATTCTAGGATGTGCACTAATAGAGTTCAACAATGACAATGATAAACCCATATGTGGCGCAAACAGGCTGTTCTGCATCTTAGTATCCAAATCAGCATAGCTAATATGGAAACTGCAGAACAAACGACAATTTGAGAAGGAGGACGACATGGAGAAATGGCACCCCAAGAAGTGCACAATAGATGGCTCGCTGCCATAAACACCAGGCTAAAGATGGACTGCTTGCTCACGAACAAGGCATGTTATGGGACAAACGCCATAGTTTCAGAAGTCGTTGTGGCTACATGGGCAGGAACTCTAATGAATGAAAATGGTAGACAAGCAGAATGGATCAAAGAAGTTATTAAAGATGATGCTGAGGTTTTAGTGGGTATCGAGCCTCTATACCAGACTCTCAGACCCAGAGGATGGCACAGATAAGTAGGCTTGAGTCCCACACTGTCATGAAGGGCGTGCATAAAGTATTTCCTCAGCGGTGGAACTCAAGGGTGGAAACCCCATTTTAACATGGGCCGAGAGGGCGAGCATGGCTCGCTGCCTCAGGCCCAAAAACATTCCTCCAAAAAAAAAAAATTGTGACCTTATTTTACTCGCAGCTGCCAGTCTGGGTATTTGCCACCATAGAACCCTTGAATTCGGCAAAGCTAGAGCGGTCACCCTGGTTCATGACGACGGATTTGATATTAACGCCCCTAGAATCAAAAAAGAGTTAGACCACGCAATCAGAATATTGCAGACCGCTAACATTTGTAGTGACCGCGAGTTTCACTGTCGTAGTTGAACCAGATCCAGCCACTTGCGAGGTAGCGGATGTTTCCTGTTCCTTGAATGTTACAGGTCTTTGTGCTCGCTCGTCTGAGATGGGGCACGCAGCTAACTGGGAATACTGGACAAAAAATTAAGAAATCCATCGGCCGTGCATGTCTTTCCCGCAGGAGCAGTCATCTTTACGTGACTTTGGTCACGTCGTTGTAGGATGCGTCGAAGCTAATCTTTCATCTAAGAATACGCACTGGAGCCTCAAAGATGGTACTACGTACGTGCTCGAAGTCGTATCCATAACCGAAGCAGAGATGGTCAGAGCCTCAGCCACTTCGGCTACCTCTGGAATGCCGACTTTGACGGTGAACGTTTCGGAAACGACAATCGTTGAAGCAGTTAGATGTTCGATCAATAGTGAAACAGGAGAAAGATGTCGGAAATCATACAGCTGACTGTGTAAGAAGTATCAGTAGTAAAGCCTTGGTCAACTTCAATATCGACTTCGCCGGATGTGCCAACCAGGGTACCCGCGGAAGCAGTGGTCTGCGTCTGGCAGACCGGGTCACCTGTCTTGGAGTCAGAGCAAGATCAAAGGCACCACAGCTGTGAACGAACCAGAGAGACTAAGGTCAACAACACTGTCGGTGATACGGACTTGTACAGGTTGGCTGACATACTAAAGAGGAGGATGGTCAGATCATCAATTTTATGAACAAGAATTGGTCTTACATCCGAGGGATTTGTAACAATATTGCGGGAGCCATCACCCCAGTTATCGTTGGCGTATTGGACGATAAAATTCCATCCAGAAACTGAACAAAGTTTTATGAGTGTCAAGCAACAGGGGGGAAATAAAACGAACCACTCGTTTTGGCTTCATCGATGGAGAGTTGGGCACATTGGCTGGCTGCACGGCGGTCGATGGCGTTGGCCTCGACATCTACAGGATACCTCCCATACAGAGAAACATCACGCTTGAAAACGAGGTAGTGTCCTCTTGTTTCGTCGACAGCGATGTGGGCGATATCCCAAGGAAGCGACCGGACAAAATGGCTGAAAGGCAAAGCAATGGTGCCGGAAAGCGCAGTGAAAAGAATGATAAACTTGAAAGGTTTAGCAGAGTAGGAGGGCGAAGACGGGATAGAACTCACAGCAGCAGGGCTGAACATCGTACAGGCGGATGTTCAGGAAAGTAGAAAAAAGATAAGGAGCGAAACTTGTAAAGTACTGAGAGAATGTTGTGTAGATAAATCATCACAGAAAATTCTGCCGGCTTTTATACATATGAAGGTGTGTTTCAGGATATGAGCGCTGGTTACAGGACGAGAAGAAATCGCTCACGAAACGTTTCGAAGCAGCTCGCCCGTCGCCCGCTCATATTGAGCATGTGGACTTTGAACTCTGAACTTATTTCTGATCGACGAGATTATCAAGCTGGATCGCTGTTGTACATACTGCACTATCTGTAGTGTAGATAAATGATGCGCCGGATGAAAATCATTTGAGGGGGCAGTCTCGAACGCGGAGCAAGATCAAGCACTACGACGATATTCCGGCAGTGGATGTCCTGTATGAGAGTGTCCGGCGAAAGATAGCTTGTGATCACAGGCACATAGCAAAGGTCCAACACCATTAAAGAAAGTGACCTTGAGTGGTTTTTTTTCTGGCTGAGGTGCTGCTGGTGTAAAACGGTTAAATTCATAAAGCAAACACGGGAAAAATGTGCTTTACGGTTCTCATTCAGTTTCAATATCTTTCGTCAACCACAGATTTCGGTTTCGAAACGCATTGTTACCGCAGGTACTATCAATGGTTGACAGTCTCTCGGGTGGCGTCGGCTCCCCAAAACAGGGACTGCACATACTATTCTATGGAATAATGTCCATCTTGTGAATGGTACAAATATCACTAGCAATTAATCGTCGAGGGGCTAAGGGCCCCGTTGCTATGTCCGAAGAGAGCACTTTTTCGTGGTTTGTATTGCTGATAGATATTCAACGTCTTGGAGCGGTCTGGTGATGGCTACTTATACGTTGAGGAAGTTGGTCATCAAGTCCGATTAGATGGAACGGCTGCTTTACTCATTCGGGGGAACTCGTGGCCCCTTTCAAGCTAATTGCAAGTGCAGGAGAATTTTTCGTCAAGTTCACTCGGAACAATATAGCATCAGTCATCGTACCACTCTCCCATTTTCCCTCTCTATATAAGTAAGAAGTGCATCCACTCTTCCCTTCATATGCTGAGTGCCAGGCGCCTGGTTCAGAAGCTGCAGACCCTGGGCAGAAAATGTTCTGGTCAGGCTGATCGGCCTGTAGGCCATTCCGGTCCTACCGGCCCGTCATTTCTTTGTTCCGATCAACCAAAATACTGCCGCCGCATCCCGTTCCTTCCTTTTACCACCATCACCGTATTCGACCAGCAATGCCAGCAACCTCTGCAATCGCCCCTGGAGGTGAACTCGATAGCTGTAACCTTTTGAAGTCACTCTTATTCGCAGTGCAGAGCCAAAAGCATCGCCAAAGCCACAGCCGATTGGGAACGTTCCGATGGTTCTTCTCGTGACAACATGTGTCGCTTGTATCTTTTTTTTGCTGTGGTGGCGGGCGAATCAACTCAAGTCTGTGATATCGCATCAGTACGGCCTATAATGACCATATAACAATACCATCTAATTTGCCTGTTGTAGACTGAAGACATGGCGACAAACGGAGGGTCAGATACGATTAAGCATCGACGATGGTCCAGCAGCAACGGAGTTTCTGGAGGATGGTTACGACGACGACAATGCGGGCCTGACGTTGGCGGAGGACGGGCAGACGTTGATGCAGAAAAAGTCTCCTGTCGCTGAAGCTGCGTAGAGTATAAATGCAGGTTAAACCCATTCTTGAGGGTTTCAAAGCGGTGCGTGGCTTGAATTCTATGACGCCGCTAAGCTGATTATTTCTCAGTCGATTATAATAGGATTTATAACCCATAATGTCCGCTACTAATTTAACATCAAATTTCCGGGACACACGCCTGTCATCGATGCTGCATTATAAGCTGCAGAAGCCAGAATCCTTCTGTCGGTGGTTTCATTGTCCTGTCTAATAAAGACTTCTTCATGTTTCTATAGTTCTTAACAACATGTGTCGCCTGTATCGTTTTTTTGTGGGCCAATGACGAGCGAATCGGTTCAGTTTTGGTGATATCATGTCAGTACGGCCTTATCGACAATATATTGTTGCCATCTCACTTCTTCTCTTTTAGATTGAAGATATGTCAAGCAACGGAGGGTGAAATACGATTAAGCGTTGACAGTGGTGTTGCAAGATGGCTATGTTGACAACAAGAAGGACCTGATGTTAGCGAGGGTGCGCAGAAATTCATGCAGAGAGCCTTTTGTCACCGATGCATTGCAGAACGGGGATGCAGGTTGAGCTTATTTCTGATTGCGGTGCGAGGCTTCTCTGGTGTGGTTGCGCCAAGCTGATTGTTTCCAGTGGATGAGATTAAGATTCACGGTATATACTCCCTACTACTACTTTAATGGGTTTTCCGAGAATCGCTCCAGTCTTTGATGCCGGGTTTGACCTACAGCAAGATATCTTCTCTGTCGGCGTCCAGTCCACATTTGTTCATCTTCCTGCAGCTCTTGCGGTCGCTTCTGTGCCCGATAATGCAACGCAAACAACCATTTATTCTTAGTCCAACTTATTCGATCAAGTCTTCCATCGAATGGCCGCCGGCCCTCCCTTCTCGCCATATGACCCGTTCAAGACCTCACCTGCCTATCCAAATACCCGAGGTTTCCCCACCTACATAAATCTCCTGTCCTCTTCGACGTTCTGGTCGTGGTCCAAGATGCTGGCATTGGCACTATTTACATCTCTTGCCGCCACTTTGGTCCATGCAATTGGCCAAACAAAGTGCGTGGCGACAGAATCTTCTCCTTCGACGTTCGCGGTTGTCCAGCAGGGTCAGGCTTCTACCATTCTCCTATCTGCTGACGAATGGCAAGGTGTTCAGCTCGCAGCGAGCGACTTGTCGTCCGACATTGAAAAGGTCACCAGCGTCAGGCCGACTGTCGCCAATTTCAGTGACCACTCGCCCGACCATGCTGTCATTGTCGGCACTTTGGGCAAGTCGACACTGATCGAACAAGTCGTGAACACGACGGCATTGAACGTATCTGGCATTGAAGGTCAATGGGAGTCCTACATGACGGCCATTGTCGACAAGCCTATATCTGGGGTGGAAAGCGCGTACGTGATCGTAGGATCTGATAAACGAGGGACAATATACGGATTGTACGAACACTCTGAACAAATGGGGGTGTCGCCGTGGTATTGGTATGTGCTGTCAAGTTGTCAGTTAACGTTGATTTATTCCGATTTAGGTGGGCAGATGTACCTGTGGCGGGCCATTCTGAAATATTCGTTACATCATGTTCTCATGGACCGCCTTCCGTGAAATATCGAGGGATATTTCTGAATGATGAACAACCAAGTCTGCAGAACTGGGCTATGGAAAAGTTTACGAACGGGACCGGCGCAGCGCTGACAGGGTCACCTTTCAACCATTTGTTTTATACTAAACTGTAAGTCTCCCGTTTTCTCCGGTGCTATGTTCAGGGTCTACAATTTCCTTCCTTAGCTATGAGCTCCTGCTTCGTCTGAAGGCGAATTATCTTTGGCCAGGTTTGTATTCTTGTGTTCTTGTTTGCGCGACAGAAATTAACGCTTTGTGGTTAAGCGCAATGGACCAGGCGCGTTCGACATTCCATTCATGTTCGATGTTTGATCTATTTTGCAGTGCCTTTGCTGTCGACGATCCTGAAAACCAGCCGCTTGCCGATGTCTACGGCATTGTCATGGGCACCAGGTAAGTGACTATCCTTTGACACGGGGCGGTATTACTAAGACTGGGGGGACTGCAGTCATGAAGAACCAATGGCGCGGTCTACGCCCGTCGAATGGGATCTATTCGGCACCGGGGATTGGAATTACTCAACGAATTCTGCAAATATCTATCAGTTTTGGGTGGAGGGTGTCGAACGCGCCAAACCTTACGAGACCATATACACTATTGGTATGAGAGGTGCAGGCGATCGTGAGGAACACTCTTCATACTTCCCCTACGTGATGATCATATCGGAGACAGTTCCCTTGAGCGAGACCACCAATATCGCGCTCCTAGAAGAGGTTGTCGCCGATCAAAGACAAATCTTGACTGACGTTTTTGTCAATGTTAGCGTGGAAACAATCCCCCAGATTTGGACGCTATGTAATTTTCCAGCTTTTCTCTTATGAGACCTCATTTCATCTCTGTCCGCAGATAAGGAGGTGGAAGGTTACTATGACGATGGGATGAGAGTTCCTGATGATGTTATTCTGCTTTGGTCCGATGACAAGTCTGTGCCTATCATTCGAGATTAAGTTGGTTTTGACCATAAGGGGATCCTAGCTGGGGAAATGTCCGTCGGTACCCCGTCGAAAGCGAACGAAATCGTACTGGTGGCGCTGGTGTTTATTACCATGTAAGGTCGCCTTTTCGGTCCTTGATTCCTGTGTTGACGACCCCATAATAGTACGACTATGTTAGTGGTTGCATAATTATACTGAGCGAAATGCTGAAACTAATCTGGATACAAAGGTTGGCGACCCTAGGGACTATAAGTGGATTACGGTAAGTTCCCTTCTGAGGCATGACCGGAATTGATTACCATTTTATGCAGAGCACCCAATTGTCTAAGGCGAGCTAACGCCTGACCCTGTATGTGTGGTGACGTACTGATTGCATTTAGGTTTACGAACAAATGTCTATAGCTGTAGAACGCGACGCAACACGCACTTGGATAGTCAACGTTGGGGACCTCAAGCCGTATGAGTTGTCGATCGAGTTTTTCTTGACGTACGGATGGGACGCCTCCCTCTGGAACCCGGATAATATCGATACTTTTGTGTTGAGTTGGGCCCAGCGTGAATTCGGATTGTCCGTCTCTGACACCAATCTGGTGCAAGACATCATTGCCAACTTAACCCGATTCAATGCGAGACGAAAGCCGGAGCTTTTAAACTCTACGACATACAGTCTCGTCAATTATCGAGAGTGAGCTGGTTCTTTCTTCCACCCTATTGATGATACTGATACAACTTTCAGGGCAGAGACTGTCGTAGCGTCATGGGATACTCTGATCGCGGCGGCAACTGGGATATACGATCAATTGCCTGAGGAAACGAAACCTGCATTCTTCCAGTTGGTTTATCATCCAGTGGCTGCAAGCGCCAATTTGGGTAAGATGCTCATCACAGCAGGAATGAACAATCTCCGTGCCTCCCAAGCATTTCTGAGTACGAATCATTTCGCCGATCAGGTGCAGGGCTTTTTCGATGTTGATTATGACCTCGAGGTGGAATACCATACACTGCTTGATGGTGGGTAGATTTGTTCGCTGTCCTCTGCTGATTGCTGATGTCTCGTTTGCAGGTAAATGGGATCAGTAAGTGTCTTAGTTCTCCTCTGCCATTGTCTAATAGTGGTACAGCATGATGGATCAGACGCGTTAGTCGTCATTGTCAACACTACAACACCTGAAATTGAGTTTTGGACAGATGTCGGGTACTACTACTGGCAGCAGCCAATGATGAATTCGTCCGTCCCATCCTCTTCCCTCACTAGTCCGAATCCTGACCATTATGACAACAGAATGCCTGCGATCACCCGGGTTCCGCCCAGTAAACAAGCCCTGGCAGGTGTAATGAGGATAGCACCTGAAGGGACCTTGGCCGCTTGGTTCGTCAAACCGCTCACTGTACAATCCTTATCGGCCTGGCTAATTTTGACTGTAGGCCTGGCGACAACCCGAATCAGTGTGCCCAAGGATACAGCTGTCCTGATCCAACTGTCATCTTCGATTCTTTCAATACCTTCCACAATCTATACATCGATGTCGGCGCGGGTGGTCCAGACCCGTTCACGTTTAGTATCTCTGTCAATGCGTCCTGGATCGTTCTCAATGCGACTGATGGAGAGGTTTCGCCGGAGCAGCCCGAGCAACGTGTGTATGTGTCGGTGTCCGATTGGGATGCCCTCGATGCGGGAGATTCGTACGCTACTATCACGTTTACAGCGCAGGCGGACGGCCAACCTGATCTCTCTGTACCGGTGATGTTCGTCGCCCGTAATACCGTGCCAAGCTTAGCGTCAGATTTCAGTGGTATGTTCATATCGTGTTCGGTCAGGATGAAGCGTCTAACTCGTTGTCAGGATTTGTGGAAGGTGCCGGAGTGGTGTCGATGGAAGCTGCGCATGCTATTCGAAACACGACGGTCGATGGCGTGTACTGGAGAGAGTTGCCAGGTATCGGACGTACGTTCTCTGGGATGACGCCGTGGCCCCGAACGGGGCATGACGGAGGGAACTTTAGTGCCGGTACAGGCCCGTCTCTGTAAGTGTTGACGAGGCCTAACCGAGAGATGCTAAGCCCGTTTCCAGGGAATATGATTTCTTCACGTTCAGCGAAGCGAATGACACGACGCCCGTCACTGTCTATGTTTCCCCTTCGCTCAACGCGAATGGTGCGGACCGGCCTCTTGGTGTGGCGATATCACTAGATGATCAAATCATGTCGTCGTATTTCATACCGCCTGCTCCCCCAGGCGACCTTCCTGATGCATGGGACGGCCTCGACGGGTTTGTCGCCGACTCCATTGTCGCGATACAATTATCATTTGCCGGGATCGATCCTGGCGCCCACACCTTGAAGGTCAGTCACACGTTTTGATGCCTTGCACCGTTGTAATACTTTCATTTCCAAAAAAGATATTCATGATTGAACCAGCCGTAGTTGTGCAGAAAATTGTTGTTGGTATGTGCCCATCCCTATATGTGTAGGCCAATCCAGATGTAACCTGATCTTGCTGTCATAGACATTGGTGGTCTGGAACCTAGCTATTTGGGTCCTCCTGAAAGTATCTTAGTCTGATCTGTAAAATAGCAGCCACTATGTTTTCCCTCTATGCTAAGAAATAATTTACACAAACAATAAGTACTTTTAGATAAGAGATACACAAATCAAAAAACTGACGAGCATTATCATGGTTGTCAGAGTTATTCAAATCGTACTGGAGCTACATAGAATACATCCTCCATCCTGATCATGATCATCCTAGTTTATACAGGCTGCATTCTTTTGACCTGGCGTTCCCAGGTAAGTGAAGAAATGCACATGATATCAATGGTTCTAAATGGCCAGGTCATCCAGTTCCCACCGGTTCGAGCAGGACCACTGGTCAGCCCCATATCATCTAAGAGGTCGTCGGTGTATTGCGGCCAACTGTGGCACATGTCATTCATTATCCATCAAAACGAGGTAAAACCAAAAAAACCAAAAAAACGTACCTCCAAAACGCGATATCAGAGCAATGACTGGGATTGGTCCAGTGCAACATGTCCGGATATCTCCGTCGAAGCCACGCCGAAGATCGTTCAGTGATCTCAACGGCTTGTCGCGGCGAACGAGGAATTTCGAGGAAATGATCACCGAGGAAGTATGATGAGATCCAGTGAGCTGTGGTTTCGAACACAAACCCGTTGTTCGTGGAAAACTGGAGAAAGAAGAGGAGATGTTAAAGGGGGGTGGGGGAGAACGACGGTGATTGCGCGACTGCACCGCTCACCACTGCACCGTTGATCGCGAAGTCTCGCTTGAGGATATTCTTCGCGGGAACTATTCCCCGATAGACACAGGATGACCACTGTCTGCTGTCGGGATGCGTCGTAGGCGGGTCTTTCAGAGACGTGTACTCCCACTCTTTGGCGTGTGTCACGTCGGATATGTACTGCGGAGGATAGGAGCCCAGGCCAAGCTCATTAGCGGTCTCGTCTGCGACAACTCGTGAGAAGACGTCACGAGAAAAAAAAAAACCCCCAACGGGGACTTCACCATCGAATATATGAGACCAGGATGACTGGTATCCGGTAGCGAGGACGAGAGCATCCGCGCGGACTGTGCTGCCGTCGCTTAGGACGATCGAATGACCGTCGTCACCGAATGCAACGGCACGAGCAGGGGCAATTATACCAATCTTGCCATCGTTCGCAAGCGCATGAAAGCCATTATTACGTCGAGTCACCTCGTCGTTAACGCGCAAACTCCAAAACACATCCTGCGAAAGCCGTAGAGGAGAGCCCTCGGGTATCAGAAAAGCGCGGAACTGCGGTAAACATCAGTTGGCGAGAAAATAAGCGATGATAGACAGGAAGACGTACTGATTGATTTTGAATATAATTAAAGAGGCCTCGAACAGTCTTACCTCCTAACCATGTTTTGTGTAAGAACCGTCTAAATGATGTACAATCAGGAATATGAGTAGCATGATGGATGTTGCTACGCACTCCAAATTACTCCTAAGCTCAATATGAGGACTGAGGATACCTATCAACCTGTGATGGATCAAGTTTCAGTGAGGGGTAAAGGAACGACAAGAAGGCAACGCACCGACTCTTCCTAACGAAATCCGGTATATGCATATCCGACGCGACGAAAGCATCCGTCTTCTCAAAGATCATAGACACGTTCCGTTGTCGTCCTTCATGCGCCAAGTACGCCGCAATATCTTGCGCCGACTTGCCCCCTCCAATAACCACCACCGAGCCAGGTCTCTCGTCCGACACAGGCCTCACAGCGCTCAAGACGTCGTCCAACCGCATACGGAAATCCGAAGAATGCACAATCGGTCCCTTGAACCCAGCGAGCTTCGCCGATTCAGGGTTAAACGCCCGGGGTATACGGGGTAGATGGCATCCCTTGCAAAAAAGCGAAAAAAAAATGAGCCGTCCGGCATAACAACTTATGCGGGAAAAGGCACATACCCCAGTACAAAGCACGATGCGATCAAAACCAAGATCTCTTACCCCATCCTTGTCGCGTATCGTGACTACCCAGTTGGGCGGATCCACTGCAAAAGGCGGTGTCGGTCTCCTCACATTGATAACTTCGGTATTGTAGCAAATGTGGTCCTTCAGAAACGTGTCGGCGAATTTCTCCATGTAGAAAAGCATATCTTCCGCGCTCAAACGGGTATCACTGGCTTTACGGTCGGGATGGCGAGGCATGGCGAGCGGGGAGAAACGATAATCACCGTAGACGCTAATAATTGCACATGTTAGCAGGTAAGCGACGAAGAGAGAGAGAAACAGAAGCGCACTTGTTAATGAACACGCCCGAATACACCTTGTTATACTCCCACACGCCACCTGGACAACTATCCTTCGTCAAGATATGCACCTTTGTGAACCCATCTTGGAGTAAAGTATGCGCCGTGATGAGTCCTGCAGCGCCAGAACCTATTATACATATCGACTGGCTCGTCCTGGGATTGTGAGCGTTGATTTCCGCTGCAGAAGCATCATAGTAAGGATTGTCGAACATAGTGGTGATGATGGTTCACACTAGAGGGTGTCATACGATGTCCGGTCTTTGGGGAGAGCGCTTTTTCAAACGTCTAATTGACAACGGTGGTAATATCAATCCGAAGAGAGATGCATTCACTTATATTTTTCCGAAAGGTTCCGTCACAACGTTCTGGTTCCTCGGTCTGGACTGCGGCAAGGCTGCCGATTGGGCACGGCTGTTTGGAACCTGCATCAAAAATAAATGACGGTTAAGCAAGCAATCAGCGACAAAAAGATCTACTCTTCGTTGGAATTCCTCATTCAAAAAAATTGAAAAAACACATCCGAAGACATATAAACGCACTGACGAAAAGCTGGACCACTCAGATCGAATACATTTCACGGTCTCTCGATCAGGGTAATCGAGGATAACGGTACCTGCCGAGGCGACATTCGGGTGTCCTGACCCTGAGATCATTATTGAGTGATTAGTACCGACGAATCCGATCCCTCGCAAACGAGTGAGAAGCCAGGAATGACCGATGCGTGCCTTGCTTCTTGTATCTGAGTCTTACAAGTTTCAAAATTTCAGTAGCACTGCCGATGTCATTTGCAAATTTTGTACAAATCGTCTCCGACGCGAGAAAGTTGAACCCGTAAAGAGAGGAAAATGAATATCGATACATCGAACCCTGAGGCCTGAGTACGTACCCGAAAAAGTCAAAGTCTGCTGCCGCTGGCGCGGAAGTGAAGAGAGTGAGCCCATCCGTCTGACCCGTCCGTCACTCTAGGCCAGGAATTTCATAGTCCATCGGGACATCCTTCCTCTCCAACCATGCCGCGTCTTCTCCTCCCAGATCGACCCCTTTACCACAATCCAGTCGACGTCGGGTCGGAAGCTCCTTCAACTCCACACCATCATCATTCCTCACCACCACATAATGCTCCCCATGCCAGCCAACAAAATCCAAGGACGGCAAGGAGATGGCGACACTCCGGGCCAAGGAGTTCCAAATATCAGTTTGCACCTTGAAATCCTTGTCGCACATGAGATTCGGCTTTGGCCGCTGTTTAGCACAATGAAGGTGGAGAAACGATAAGGAGGGGAATTTGGAGAAAGATCCGCAATGCTCGTTCTAAAAGGTGACATTCCCGTGAGTCTAGGACCTGGATTAATTGAATAAGAACTGACCAATGATTTGTCCGACACGACGGTTGACAACCGAATCGCGTGCATATATGGGGGTATACTTCGCACCAGGGCCTGGACCGCTGTCTCGTTCAGGTTCGCGATCCTTACTCCAAGCACTCTCAGACCCGTCAGTTCCGGCAAGACGGCAAGTACCAAGTCCCACGGGCAGCTACCTAAATCCAATTTTCTCAGCCCCGTACGCTTCCTCAGAAATTGAGTCACGCTCTGATACAGAGTCAGTTCGTCATCGTGACCCACTAGCACGAACCGGAAGGCCTCGAGGTGAGGTAAAAATGTATGTTTGCCCTCCAATATGTGGTCACTCGCAAACACCACAGAGGCCGAAGTAGGCTCTTCGAATGTACCGTGTAGCGTCAGACTCTGCAAGTTGTGTGCATGTGCAATACGCGCCAGAACGACATGCGAAATCCGAGTATCCACCAAATCAAGATGGGTGAGGTTCTTGATGGTGACACTTTGGAACGTGCTGTCCCAGGAGTGCGTTCGCGCCAGATAGGCACCCAAGATCAAATGCTTGAGGGTCTCCTCGTTCTCGTCAAGGACTTTCCGGACTTCACCCATGTCCGCAAAACCGTCGTCATCTTCCGCCCGAAGGGTAAACTTGTGGAGGTTTTTGAAGGCAGAAACACCGACGGCGTCGAAATGCCAGCCGATGAGTCCTATGCTTTGGATACGGGAATGGCTGGCGAGAACGTTCTGTACGACGTCCGCACGCATTTCTGGATAACCTATCCATTCAAAGTCGCCGAGCATCGTGAATTTCGGCAGCGCTGTACGAAGGGCTCCTACGGACTAGTCAGTCTTAAGTTCTCCAGCATACTAACGACGTACTAGTCATCAAATCCAATACATCGGATTCTTCATACGCCCAATGTATTCTCAAAGACTTGATCTGACTCGCAAATACTGGGTCCTCCTTCACTCGGTCCATGAAATCCAATCCTCGACTGACGTTCTCCTGGTCGTCGCCAAAGTAGAGATCGACAGTTCGAAAGATGATGCGTATCGCAATCTCCCTGTGAAACGCCGACACGAATAACCATGTCCGAAGATGATACCGAGGCATACTGCGCGCTATTCGGTCCCAAATTTCCGGCGGCGCTCTCTGCGAGGCGGGTTCATCGACAAAATGTATGCGCCTATCCCTTCGGAATAAATGCTGGGTTTCCCGGTTCGACGGATCTAGGTTCAACGCAGCTTGGAAATCTACAGAACATGAGAAGCGATCCAATAATGTTCAAAACTACAGACCTTGATGGGCTTTCTCCAGCAACTTATCGCCAGCCAGCTTCCTCGCCTTCCCTCTGGCCAACAAAGCCCTTGCCACGTCCTCCCGAGGTAGATTCGGCGTCTTCAGGTACACTTCGAGGTAATTCTCCACATCATCGCCGTATTGTCCTGACTCTATCAAAGCCAACGATGTATCGAGAAGGAACGACGCTTTCCTCGATGCAGGCAAGGCCTGGATAGCCCCGAAGACGGTAGATGTGAGCTCGTCTTGAGGACCAGGAGACGACATGGTGGGAGTTCGAGATACCACGCCACGTTTCTTTGTCAAAGACATGGGAAGGAAAACCAGATTAACGGTAGGCGCAATTATTGACTCCGTAGCGCAAATCTGCCAATGAAATGAGTATCATTTCAAACGTAGAAGATCGAGCACACTTACGAACTGCCGTCAGTATAGCCTCCGTGGTATCCAGTATGAATATCTGCCGAAGAGATAAATACCGTTTCAAAGCAAGGACGTCGAGTACGGGCCGTCAGCTGGTCCTGATAACAAACATATAGTAGAGTATCGATTCTGCTACGTGTTTGACGTCGCAGAAGGTTTGCTCAGCGTCTTTAACGTCGTCGAGATGGTGGCGGTGGTAGAAGTCCGAGAATCGTGTTGAGTTTCGTCAGAGTAGCAATTCTTACCAATTTGAGAAATTATTACGTCACTTTCGCGCAAAATGTCTCGTTGCCAATTTTTACCTTTCTTTACCGTGGTGCAGAGACCAGGATAGATAATAGTCTGGACGATAGGATTCTCCATTCTCAGTGTAAGGATCACTGAGAAAACGGGTAGTCTGTATATCCTACACCACTAGTATCTCCATGTAAAACGTCGAGCGGTCGTACTTCGTAAGGGGAATGTTCTTCTCCAACCTTTTAGGAAGGTCAGATTGAAACTTGAAAGAAGAGTAGAGACTTACATTTGATATATACCACATACCATAGGCATTAAGACCGCCCTTTTCCTCGGCAGTCTGCATCCCTAACTCTCTAGTATATCCACCAGCAGAAATGACCGGTCTCGGAGCCCACAATATCTTCCGAATAAAATCATCAGTTTCAACCTCCCTTCCGCCGTCCACGCGAACTTCGATAACATGAAGATATGCAAAATCAGGATACAGCTCTTTCACCCTCATTACCAGATGTGAAAAAGTCGGTAGGGGACCATCCATCCCCATTCCTACGAAATAAGTATCAGCCGCCTATCGCACCCATTCTTATCAGAAACCACACCTCCAGTGCGATTCGACGGCCTCAGCCTCAGCCTTACCCTGACCACTCCTCTCACTGCCTCAACGGCGCGCCCGAACATCTCTAATCATGGAAACCCCACGCGATTCTCCACACTCCCGTCATATTCGTCATCCCGGACATTACTCACGCTCTGTATGAACTCGTCCACAAGGACGCCATTCGCGCCATGAATCTTAACGCCATCAAACCCAGCTGCATTTGTCGCGGCAGTACCAAAGAAATCCAGGTGTTCCTTGATCTCCTCTTTCATCCTCGCCCGAGAGGCGGGCGCGCCGGCAGAAGGAGGCAAAGCAGAAGCTCCAATATGAGGGAATGTAGGAGATCGCGAGATTTGAGGGTCATCCGGAAATGGTTGACGCCCCGCAGCGCCTATCTGCATATAAAAGTAGCTTCCCTGTGCATGAACACCGTCGACGACCTTCATTATACATCTCTCTAAGTCAGATGGCATCGATTGAAAAGCACCGAGTCACCTCTTTCTAGGCAGCGATGGCTCTTCAGTCCAGATCTCTGGTGCACCAGGATATCCAGAGACGTTGGGTGCGATGACCGTGGCGTCGCTGATGAGTAGCGTGCCAGGGACCTTTTAGTAAGGGAGCAACGGTAACTGGATCCGAGCGGAGTCGAGACAAAGGATCTAGAACGACTCGGTGAGAAAGGGAAAGCCGTCCAACTGTGACAGGCTCGAAAAGTTTACTGGAAGACACCGCAGTTGTCGTGTATGAAGAAAACTTAACAGGGCGTATAGAGCACTTTTTCAGTTGAACGTAAACTCTTCAAGCTAGCGATAATGACAGTAATCAAACGCCGAGCTATTCATTCGGCATCGAGGCGCGTTCTGTTTCCCCCGAGTGGGTACTAATGACTCAGAGACGGCGATGAGCGTATTGTCCGACGCGGTCGGTAAATGTGAAGATACCGCGTACTGGAAACGCGAATCAGCCATTGTCCTAGATGACTAATTGCAAGAAACGCTGAATCAACAACCTATCCAGATCCCCAAGGGTAAACCCATTGCACTTTACCTGAAAAGATAGGATCTAGAGTCTAGACGTTACCACTCCGAGTCCTAAACCTAAATCAATAGTTCCTCCTGACCGGTACCATATCTGGTAGATGAGTGCGCCATTGCTGTAAATGATAAAGCAGCACCGGAGTGCGTCCGTCGTAGCAGCCGTGATGCAACTGTTTTCTTTGTAGTTCAGTTCTTCTTAAACATTATGTTCAATTTCCCACTCAGGAGCTCTGGCAGCTACAGAACGAGACCCCAGTATCCGGTTTTCCGAAATCAGCATTTTCATGAAGGAGAATGGAAGTATTACTCAGGCAGCCGATAAAATAAAGCGCATAGTGGTAATCCCAACTCGGACTTGAACGAATATTTGAACACGAATCTCGAAGCGACAGTTGCCTATACAATGAAGGTAAATTAAGCTGTTACCTACCTAGACGAGGGGAACAGTGGTTCATGAATCGCTGAAAAGCCAGACCTGAATGATTGCTTAAAAAAATCCTGTACTCGAAGTAGTTCACTTACCTCGATGTATGTATATACGCAGCAATCACCAGACAGGCTCCACAGCTTCGAATTGAAACAAAGCGGGCAATGTTGGCCCAAATTGTCAGAATTCGTGTTTCCCCAATGCTGCAACCATTGTAAAGACTGCCATGTCAGTCAATTGCCTTTGTGGATCAATGTCCAAAGTTAATGAATGGCTTTGGGGGAATTAAAATCAATAGAAATAGAGCATCGCGCCCCTAGTTGTGGCGACGGTAATAATAGAAATGATGGATACCATGATACTGAACCCTCAACGCGTCTGTGGCGTGGGAAAACGGCAAAGTTTCGGCACTTCAAGACGTTGGAAAGTTGCAAATACACTTGTACTAATCAGAAGGTGCACTATATTCCATAGCAGTGCGCCTCACTTAGAAGTTGTTTCGACGAGATAGTTAGTCCCTGATACTATCATTTCCGCAATACGCCAAGCTTATTACAATCGGATTCAAAACTTGACATGCTTGACAATTGGTGCGTGACGAAGTGTATGTAGACTGAACTTGCGCCGTAAGAATTTCTCAAGTTGTTTGCTTCACTATTTTCACTCGTCTGTTACATCAGGTAACAAACCATCCAGCAGATTTCCCGTTCCAGATAATCAATGAATAAATTGGGATCCTTTACTGCGTGTCCATAAAAATTACGGAAGGCTGGATTCCCTCAAATACAGATACCGCCTCGATCAAGTATGTTGTACCGTTTGTGAAGCTCAAGTATGCTTAGACGAACATTGACGACGTGAGCAGAGTCGCCATAAAATGACTGCTCCAGAGGGAAAGACTTGTGTCTCCACGATTAAGTTTTTGGGCCCAGTATTCACTATTGGCTGATTGCTCAATCTTAGATTGCACCAGGACCTCTAACGTCCAACCGATATGCAAGATCCGCTACCCCTTGACTGGCTGGATTTGGTTTAATTACTATAACACTCATGGTCACTGAAAATGCTCGTAGAGCTTTTCGCACGAACGCTGGTTGCATGCTTTGACTCGGCCTTGATTCTAGGGCTGTTAATATCGAATCCGTCTTCACGAAGCGCGATAACTCCTCCGGCTTTGCCGCTTTCAAAATTCAAGCTCGAAGGCTCTATGGCTGAATTTAAATAGCAATTGATCACTCTGCACCGATGCACGTTAATAATTTGACGACTTCGCGCTACGGAAACAAGGGAAACAGAGGCTTAGCAAGTCGAAAGATGGCGGAAGCGAAGGCCATTAAAGGCCACTCCATAGTCACATGAGGCCCTTTCATGACAACGGGGGAGTTTTGGACTCGGAATATATCGTATAACCGCCACGGTTATGCTTACTACACGGTGATGGATCCCCCCTTCTTGATCCGAGTCCGTCTGTCAGTTAATCTGCTTGCCTCGCGTCCACCAGCTTGGTGTATAGTGGACATTGTCTGGTTTCAGGCCTTTTGGAAGGCGAATTGCTGAGTTTCTTTCCTTGGCTCTTGGCGCCATGGTGACATGAATAATTGGGAAACTTACGCTTTTCTGGCTTACGAAGAGTAAGTACATGCACAGGGATTTGACTGATAGACTAACTCATGTCGGAGTCAAAGTCTATTAGTTAAAGGGACATAAGACAGATATCAAACGGACAGTGAGGTTACGACAGTTTGAACACAGACTTGGTTATGAACATTCAATGCTCGGGATACAATAAGAGCTAGCATAAATACAATGAGAACACAAGTGGGAATCAAATAGTTTCGGAATCAATCTTCATCGGTACAACAATGGCCTGCTGAAAGCCCGTCAACATACATCAAATGGATATCGAGAAACATACCTCACCCTCGGCACGGTGGTCATGCACACTTTTAGCAACAGAATCAATTATTGGTAGGTGAAAGGAATCATCGATGTTTCGAACTGTGTTTCGTGCATTGAGCCTATTCTCTTGAATGAATGTCGATCAAGACTCGTAACGTTGGTACCTACATAGCTAACAAGGAGTTGATGAAAACTACATGAAAGTTAACATCTTGGCATACTTCATAGCGGTTGCGAAGACTGACTTTTGGGCTGTATACAATCTACGCCGAGGAATATGAGAGTATCTGGCCAGAGGAGAAACTATGGCATGAATTATTAGTGCTGGTTTCAATGAGATCGAGCAGTGAGATTGCTCAGATATTGTCCTGCATACTGTAACAAGAATGAGCATTGAGTACAAGCTAAGTATCATTGTGTAAGGCTGTGCCAAAGAAACTTGGAAGCGGCTTTACTGACCTTGTAACTAACCCTGATATCAGAACCATCTGCATCAATGTCAGAAGTATTGCAATGGTGCTGAATGGGCGTCGGACAGGCATAAACAAGAAAATGAATAAACTGACTTGGGGAACACCGAAGAGGTCCTGCCCTTATTCAGAGTGTACATCATCGCAACAGACAAGATGAACTCGGCTGATATGCTCATGGCAAACAACGATATGAGAGCGTTCTACATTGAAATAAGATTGTGCGTCCGAGACGATATTGAATACGCACCCTGATGGTTGGTGTTTGGGAGAAGCTGGGGATCGAAAAGCTATTGAGGATATCATTTCCATTGAGTGAATAACGCGAAACGGCTGAGCGCGTACACATCTTTAACAAGGTCTGCAGGATGTCCCGTCATTGGTGTATCACAAGAAAATGGTATATAAGGCTTACATATCCCGCAACCTATCAGGGGTTCGTCGTTAATAAAGAATTTTGACCGAAGAGAGGAAGGATTGTTCGCACCGGCGTTGCTTGCAGTGACGAGAATCTGAAACGGCAAAGAAGGAGATCATTACAAGTAATACAGAAATGCATATTCCACATACAACCAGCCACAATATCGATTGATAAAGGTGGTGTCCAACTAACCGTATGTGTCAGGGTGGAACTAGGCGTCGAGACAAGAAAATGTACGTTTCCATAAGCGTAGGGCGTACACCCTGCACAAGAGACATATTTTCAATTCGACCATGAATGAGGCAAGTGTGAATCCTCACGCTTGGACAAAGACTCGGATAGAGACCTGGGTGAAAATTCAGAATGAAGCTCGCGATACGTCTGAATGATTAGGTACGAACACAAATCAAGATATGCAGCTGTGTGATTCAAGTACCATGTTCTCATCGAGAAGACGCAGCACAAACCTTAAAGCTCCTACGCAGAACAGAAAGTTAGTGAAGGAAGAAACCATCCCAACTAGAACATACCACACGATGTTACCTTGAGTAAAAGCTTGAAAGTTTCCGAAGTTCTTGATAGAATAGAAATACCAGACGTGGGTGGTGACTGCAACGTCGATTGTATCTAGGACCCTATACATGGCTTTTAGATACATCAAGCTAGAAGTAAATTGAAGGAAACCTACCAGATGATCCCTACCTGCTCATCGTTAGCAAGATCATCAATATTGAGTCTTTCGAGGGAGATGCTAAGGGCGCGCACTGAAGCCTTAAAAATCCACCCATCATTCGGGTAATTTCTGTAGTAGAATGAGGACTGAAGACAAGTTATGCCAAACAGACTGCACGGAATAAACATTAGTTTTGCGGTGAGAAACGGAAAGGAACGTACATGTTGGCGAAGGAGGCACCAATAACGAATGCACCGAGTGTATTGTCGAGTGAGACGTTTGTCATCGAGACTGAGGATAATAAATGAACTACCACAGCTCTGATGGATCTCGCTATTTGAGCAAAAAGCCACGGTGGAACACACCCAGGAATTGTATAAGTACCATCATCATCATCATCATCATATTACACAGGATGACCTACATCGACGCTTGCTCCATTTGAGTAAGAAATGAAATGCCTGCAGGACCCAGGTATTGATATTCAACTTTATCGTCATGAGATGGAAGACCACTAGACGTGTACTGGCAGGAGGCTGTGGATTAATTAAAAATAGCATAGTTGGCGTTGTCTTTGTTCACATTCTGACCATCAAGGGTGATAATCAAGTAGCCGTTGACGTCTAGTCCCGGGTCTTAGTCCGGGATCTTTAAGAGGACACAGAAGATAAGCCAACAAGCGCTGATGAGCAACAAGCATAGGAAAAGAACGGCATGCTCGCTGCTTTGCGTAAGACGATAGCTGAAGCTGTCTGAGGAACAGCTCAGCAACTTCCACAGGTTAGTTAGTGGTCCTCGAGACTCAGATATCATAGCCTCGTAAACTGGACTGAAAGATCCGTATGAAGAAAAGTCGTTCAATGGGTGTAGAAATAGGTTATCATTGGCTGCAAGCCGAGAAATTCCACAGCCCACTGCCTCTCCGGCGAATCAATCCAATCGGCCAAGTCAACTTTTCATGAACTTGGAGAGCAACTCGAAACATCTGATTTCAGAGTATAGTTAGTAGGCATACCGGCTTATTCAGATAAAGATCTGACTCGGGGAAAGGCGCTGAAGATGGGGGAACGTACTCGGGGCAATTTTTTTGAAGATGGCTAGGCTGATGCTTGAGTCAACAGACAAAAAACATTTCCATCATCGCGTTTCTAAATATAACCTTGGAAGATATCCTCCTATTGGCGCAGATAGTACTGATCAGAAGAGAAGTGTCACATCTGATTTTTTCCCATGGTATTAAAGGTTTACCAGAGAGTGGAGCGTAGCGCGAGGAGACGAAGGCGGTAACGGCACGTGATGGATTAGGACAGGTTGATAGACGTTTTCCAGGTTGTCGTAGTTAGCTTTTTCCCCATCGATCCATTCCATCTCTTGGACTCTGCGAGGGGTTCCAGGGACATCCTAATTCTTGTCAACATTTACGTGCACGGTGCATTGGTATAAAGAAAGTTCATACCCAACGTAGCGAATGGATTTTTTTGGCCCCATTCAAAAGGAAGCGCGGTCCATCTTGATTCGGCTACGTCCATTGAACGACGCTGTGTCTTTGCGCATCTCCCGCTGCCGCGTAATATCAAAAGTAGTGGACACCATGTGCTCCATGCAACAGCCTCCATGATAATTTGATTCAACACCTATGATGACGATTCCGGCCTACGATGGTGGTTACTATGGGGCAATTATTGATTCTGGGTTCCCCGCCCCACCATAGATCTTCAGGTTCTACAATGGCTTGGGTTGCTTGGTCGTAAGCTCGGCTCCGAGGTTGACTATTGATGTTAGGGCTTCGTAGTGGTTACCCGTTTCCTTTCTCAGGCTTACCATGGTGCCGTGTAATGATGAGATTTCAAACGAAAAGACTGAAGTGGCTGTGCTACGACTCATAGGAGCGCATTGGGAGCACAATACGAATGTAAATAGCAGGGCGGCTCTGCACTCTTTATGCACATGGCTCGATCTCGTGGATCATAGTAGACATTGAATCAATTTTAGAAAATTTCCTTGTCTATCGGGATGTTGATGCACATGAATTATTCTTCTACGCGCAACATTGTATTGTTTATGTAAAAGTATTTTTTGTCTCTGTAAATTATATCTCAGGATACAGGGAACAAATTATGCTCATCTTACACGAAAATGCTTTCAGGAGGACCCAAATAGCTAGGTTCCAGACCACCGACGTCTATGACGGCAAAGTCAGGTACATCTGGATTGGTCTATACATATAGGACAGGCACATACCAACCACAATTTTCTGCACAACTACGGCTGGTTCAATCATGAATATCTTTTTTGGAAATGAAAGTATTAGAACGGTGCAAGGCATCAAAACGTGTGACTGACCTTCAAGGTGTGGGCGCCAGGATCGATCCCGGCGAATGATAATTGTATCGCGACAATAGAGTTGGCGACAAACCCGTCGAGACCACCCCATGCATCCGGAAGTTCGCCAGGGGGAGCAGGCGGTATGAAATACGACGACATGATTTGATCATCCAATGCTATCGCCACACCGAGAGGCCGGTCCGCACCATTCGCGTTGAGCGAAGGGGAAACATAGACAGTAACGGGCGTCGTGTCATTCGCTTCGCTGAACGTGAAGAAATCATATTCCCTGGAAACGGGCTTAGCATCTCTCGGTTAGGCCTCGTCAACACTTACAGAGACGGGCCTGTACCGGCACTAAAGTTCCCTCCGTCATGCCCCGTTCGAGGCCACGGCGTCATCCCAGAGAGCGTACGTCCGATGCCTGGTAGTTCTCTCCAGTACACGCTATCGACCGTCGTGTTTCGAATAGCATGCGCGGCTTCCATCGACACCACTCCGGCACCTTCCACAAATCCTGCCAGCGAGTTAGACGCTTCATCCTGATCGAACACGATATGAACATACCACTGAAATCTGACGCTAAGCTTGGCACGGTATTACGGGCGACGAACATCACCGGTACAGAGAGATCAGGTTGGCCGTCCGCCTGCGCTGTAAACGTGATAGTAGCGTACGAATCTCCCGCATCGAGGGCATCCCAATCGGACACCGACACATACACACGTTGCTCGGGCTGCTCCGGCGAGATCTCTCCGTCGGTCGCATTGAGAACGATCCAGGACGCATTGACGGAGATACTAAACGTGAACGGGTCTGGACCGCCTGCGCCGACATCGATGTATAGATTGTGGAAGGTATTGAAAGAATCGAAGATGACGGTTGGATCAGGACAGCTGTATCCTTGGGCACACTGATTCGGGTTGTCGCCAGGCCTACAGTCAAAATTAGCCAGGCCGATAAGGATTGTACAGTGAGCGGTTTGACGAACCAAGCGGCCAAGGTCCCTTCAGGTGCTATCCTCATTACACCTGCCAGGGCTTGTTTACTGGGCGGAACCCGGGTGATCGCAGGCATTCTGTTGTCATAATAGTCAGGAAGAAGACTAGTAGGGAGGAGGATGGGACGGACGAATTCATCATTGGCTGCTGCCAGTAGTAGTACCCGACATCTATCCAAAACTCAATTTCAGGTGTTGTAGTGTTGACAACGACGACTAACGCGTCTGATCCATCATGCTATACCATTGTTAGACAATAACAGAGGAGAACTAATACACTTACTGATCCCATTTACCTGCAAACGAGACATCAGCAATCAGCAGAGGACAGCGAACAAATCTACCCACCATCAAGCAGTGTATGGTATTCCACCTCGAGGTCATAATCAACATCGAAGAAGCCCTGCACGTGATCGGCGAAATGATTCGTACTCAGAAATGCTTGGGAGGCACGGAGATTGTTCATTCCTGCTGTGATGAGCATCTTACCCAAATTGGCGCTTGCAGCCACTGGATGATAAACCAACTGGAAGAATGCAGGTTTCGTTTCCTCAGGCAATTGATCGTATATCCCAGTTGCCGCCGCGATCAGAGTATCCCATGACGCTACGACAGTCTCTGCCCTGAAAGTTGCATCAGTATCATCAATAGGGCGGAAGAAAGAGTTATCTCACTCTCGATAATTAACAAGACTGTAGGTGGTCGTGTTTAACAGCTCCGGCTTTCGTCTCGCATTGAACCGCGTCAAGTTGGCAATAATGTCTTGCACCAGATTGGTGTCAGAGACGGACAATCCGAATTCGCGCTGGGCCCAACTCAACACAAAAGTGTCGATGTTATCTGGGTTCCAGAGGGAGGCGTCCCATCCATACGCCAAGAAAAACTCAGTCGATAACTCGTACGGCTTGAGATCTCCAACGTTGACCATCCAGATCCGAGTTGCGTCACGTTCCACAGCTATAGACATTTGTTCGTACACCTGAAGGTGGTCAGTATGTCATCGAGCCTAGGCATTAGCCCACCTTGGACAACTGGGTGGTCTGTAAAAAATAGGAATCAATTCCAAGCATATTTTAATCATAAAAACGATCTGACGGTAATCCATTTATAGTCCCTCGGAGGCCCAACCTATATACTTATATTAGCGACAGCGATTGACTCAGTGTTCTCGCGGAACACACTAACAAGGTCGTACTATTTTGGGGGAGATCAGCAAGGAAATCAAACACAAAAAGATGACCTGTACATGGTAATAAACACCGGCACCTCCAGTACGGTTCCGTTCGCTTTCGACGGGATAACGACGGATGTTTCCCCACCTAAGATCACATTATGGTCAGAATTGACTCGGTATAAAATCATGGGCACAGACGTGTCATCGGCCCAAAGTAAAGTAACATCATCAGGAACTCTCATCCCATCGTCATAATAACTTTCCACTTCCTGATCTGTAGAGATAGATTAATATGGTCTCATGAAGTTCCTATAACACAAAAGCTAGAACTTACATAGGGTCCAAACCTGGGGGATTGTTTCTACGCTCACATTAACAAAAACTTTGGTCAAGATTTGTCTTTGATCGGCGACGACCTCTTCTAGTAGCGCGATATTGGTGGTCTCGCTCAAGGGAACTGTCTCCGATATGATCATCACGTAGAGGAAGTATGAAGAGTGTTCCTCACGATCGCCTGCACCTCTCATACCAATAGTGTATATGGTCTCGTACGGTTTGGCGCGTTCGACACCCTCCACCCAAAACTGATAGATATTTGCAGAATTCGTCGAGTAATTCCAATCCCCGGTGCCGAATAGATCCCACTCGACGGGCGTAGACCGCGCCATTGGTTCTTCATGACTGCAGTCCCAGCCTTAGTAATGCTGCCATGGTCAAGGAATAACCATTGTTTACCTAGTGCCCATCACGATTCCATAGACATCCGCGAGCGGTTGGTTTTCAGGATCGTCGACAGAAAAGGCACTGCAAAATAGATCAAACATCGATCATGAATTCAATGGAATGTCGAACGCGCCTGCTCCATTGTGCTTAAGCACCAAGCGTTAATTTCTGTCGCACAAACAACAACACAAGAATACAAACCTGGCCAAAGATAATTCGCCTTCAGACGAAGCAGGAGCTCGTAGCTAAGGAAGGAAATTGTAGACCCTGAACATAGCACCGGAGAAAACGGGAGACTTACAGTTTAGTATAAAACAAATGGTTGAAAGGTGACCCTGTCAGCGCTGCGCCGGTCCCATTCGTAAACTTTTCCATAGCCCAGTTCTGCAGACATGGTTGCTCATCATTCAGAAATATCCCTCGATATTTCACGGAAGGCGGTCCATGAGAACATGATGTAACGAATATCTCAGAATGGCCCGCTACAGGTATATCTGCCCACCTAAATCGGAATAAATCAACATTAACTGGCAACTTGACAGCACATACCAATACCACGGCGACACCCCCATTTGTTCAGAGTGTTCGTACAATCCGTATATTGTCCCTCGTTTATCAGATCCTACGATCACGTACGCGCTTTCCACCCCAGATATAGGTTTGTCGACAATGGCCGTCATGTAGGACTCCCATTGACCTTCAATGCCAGATACGTTCAATGCCGTCGTGTTCACGACTTGTTCGATCAGTGTTGACTTGCCCAAAGTGCCGACAATGATAGCATGGTCGGGCGAGTGGTCACTGAAATTGGCGACAGTGGGCCTGACGCTGGTGACCTTTTCAATGTCGGACGACAAGTCACTCGCTGCGAGCTGAACACCTTGCCATTCGTCAGCAGATAGGAGAATGGTAGAAGCCTGACCCTGCTGGACAACCGCGAATGTCGAAGGAGAAGATTCTGTCGCCACGCACTTCGTTTGGCCAATTGCAGAGACCAAAGTGGCGGCAAGAGATGTAAATAGTGCCAATGCCAGCATCTTGGACCACGACCAGAACATCGAAGAGGACAGGAGATTTATGTAGGTGGGGAAACCTCGGGTATTTGGACAGGCAGGTGAGGTCTTGAACGGGTCATATGGCGAGAAGGGAGGGCCGGCGGCCATTCGATGGAAGACTTGATCGAATAAGTTGGACTAAGAATAAGTGGTTGTTTGCGTTGCATTATCGAGAACAGAAGCGACCGCAAGAGCTGCAGGAAAATGAACAAATGTGGACTGGACAGGACATGCAACCACCAACAGAGAAGATATTCTGGCTTCTGCAGCTCACAATGCTGCAACGATGACAGGAGCGCTTTCCGGAAACTTGATGTTAAATTAGCAGCCGACAATCAGGGACAGAATCGCCGCAAAAACTACAGGACGATGAGCAAATCTTAACTCGCCATGAAATAGAAACACCGACTACGAACATATTCTAGCTTCTGTAGTTCAGAATGCAGCGTCACTGACACAGGAATGATAGGAACACTTCCCGGAAACTTGATATTGAAATCAGCGGCATATAGGGTATGAATCACTTATAGACTGAGGAATACTCAGCTCGGCGGCATCTAAGTATATATACCACACATCGTGAATGAAACCCTCGAAAACGGTTGAACCTGCATACGCGCTCTACACTGCTTCAGCAACGGAAAACCCAACCTTCTACAGTTCACAATGCCGCATCGATGACTGGAACGTGTCCCGGAAATTTGATGTTAAATTAGCAGCGGACATTATGGGGTATAAATCCTAATATAATCGACTGAGAAATAATCAGCTTAGCGGCGTCATAGAATTCAAGCCACGCACCGTATTGAAACCCTCAAAAATGGGTTAACCTGCATTTATACTCTGCGCAGCTTCAGCGACGGAAGACTTTTTCTGCATCAACGTCTGCCCCTCCTCTGCCAACGTTACGTCCACATTGTCATCATCATAACCATCCTCTAGAAACTCCGTTGCTGCTGGACCATCATCAATGCTTAATCGTATCTGGCCGTCTGTTTGTCGCCATGTCTTCAGTCTACAACAGGCAAATTAGATGGCATTGTTATATGGTCGGTATAGGCCGTACTGATGCGATATCACCGACTTGAGTTGATTTGCCCGCCGCCATAGCAAAAAAAAGATACAAGCGACACATGTTGTCACGAGAAGAACCATCGGAACGTTTCCAATCGGCCGTGGCTTTGGCGATGCTTTTGGCTCTGCACTGCGAATAAGAATGACTTCAAAATGTTACAGCTATCGAGTTCACCTCCAGGAGCGATTGCAGAGGTTGCTGGCATTGCTGGTCGAACACGATGATGGTGGTAAAAGGAAGAAACGGGATGCGGCGGCAGTATTTTGGTTGATCGGAACAAAGAAATGACGGGCCGGTAGGACCGGAATGGCCTACAGGCCGATCAGCCTGACCAGAACATTTTCTGCCCAGGGTCTGCAGCTTCTGAACCAGGCGGCTGGCACTCAGCATATGAAGGGAAGAGTGGATGCACTTCTTACTTATATAGAGAGGGAAAATAGGAGAGTGGTACGATGACTGATGCTATATTGTTCCGAGTGAACTTGACGAAAAATTCTCCTGCACTTGCAATTAGCTTGAAAGGGGCCACGAGCTCCCCCGAATGAGCAAAACAGTCTTTCTATCTAACCGGACTTGATGACCAACTTCTTAGCTTTGACGCATCCTCCAACGACGTGACCAAAGTTACCGTAAAGATGACTGCTTCGGCGAGCAAGACTTGCACCGTTTCTTAATTTTTCTCCGGTATTCCCAGTTAGCTGACTGCCCTATCTCAGACGAGCACAGAGACCTGTAACATTCAAGCAACAGGAAACATCCGCTACCTCTCGAGTGGTTGGATCTAGTTCAACTACGACAGTGAAACTCACGATCACTACAAATGTTAGTGGTCGTGCAATATTCTGATTGCGTGCTCTAACTCGTTTTTGATTCTAGGGGCCGTTAATACCGAATCCGTCGTCATGAACCAGGATGACCGCTCTAGCTTTGCCGAATTCAAGGGTACTATGGTGGTAAATACCCAGACTAGTTATGCTGGCAGCTGCGAGTGAAATAAGGTCATAATTGATCGCGGTTTTACGCTGCAAATGCTGCCGATTTCTGTTTTGGTTATTTATCCGCCGTTCACGCCTGCTAATTATTTTTCTACTCATAATATTATACACTGGCACTACACCCACCGTCCACATAGATCATTGGAATATTTCGAGCTTTTGGTTGAAGAGAAATCTGCCACTGGTTAGCTACCTTGACATTCTGCCATGACAGTCCGAGACCCAAGGTATGACAACCGGTTCGGGTATCAGGTCAAAATGAAAAGTAATATGTCTTTGAGAAGGTGAAGGTCGGGAATCGAAACCAGCTTCCACAACATGAACTGCTGTGTGACATCAGGACCAGCATGTATCACTAATACTTGATATTGACCAAACTCGGCAATCTCATCTTTCAAAACCAAAGAACTTGTATTCTGATGCTGAAACTCTTATTAAGCCAGAACTCAAATTATGCCAAAACCCAAAGTTCAATTAAGACTTCAATTCTATTCAGTAAGGTGACTTAGCAACAAAAGCTACTCAAGTCAAGATTAAACACAAAGACTTTGATCCAGGGACTAACTATAGTGAGCTAGAGGGCCTAATCATGGAGATGGGTCATCCAGCATGCAATTTCCCCCTTTTCATTCTTTCATACATGAGTAAAAGGTACAGAATCTATAAATAATATGGTCCTATCAATATTTTCTATTGGCAAGCCTGGAATCAGGCCATTATTCCATCTTGGCACACCAAATATAACCCTTTTAGGTGATCCTGGAGCTCCACAGTGCTCTGCTCCATAGCCCAGAAATACCTGCTATACATTTGATCATGCTATAGTTCCATTTATTACATTCAGAGTTGCTGTCAATCATAATTGATTGGTAATTTAGGCTGTTTAGTGCTGATCACAGATGATCTGAGGTACCAGCCAAGCACTGCAGCTGTTGCTTGTCCCATTTCTAAATCCTATTTGATACTCTATGACTGAGAAGTTTCCACTTTATGTATTTTCAGTCAAACTTGGAATATTAGCTATGGGCTAATGAGTTCTACTCTGCTTTCTACTCCTGGTTTAGATGCTAGCTGCCTTTAATGCATCACTGCTAGTCATAGGAATATATTCTGAACTAGACTATGATATAATAACCCTTATAGCATTTAGAATTGGCCCAAATGTGGTACTGTTTCTAAGTCCAATCTGACTTAGTATTTTACCAAAGTGGCATAATTTCCCTAAGTTCAACTTAGGATTATCACCTCAATGTAAAGTTAGTGCTCTAAGTAAAAACTGGACTTAGAATTCTCAGCTAGCATGGCTATCAGCTCAGAGCTTCAGCTATAACCCTTGAATGGCTAGCCATACAGATATCAGCTTATGCAAATGTATTATTTAAAATCCACAAATTTTAGGGCTAGACACATACACTACATGTCAGCATGTCAGAGTTTGAAACTGGCCTTGGCTCTCTGATCAGCTGAGGGGGCCTATGTCTGAGTAATAGCACAATCAGTCACTGGGAGTCCAACTGAGAACAACAAACTGATGAGGCTTACATATAGATATTTATCTCAGCAGAATCATAAGTACTGACCTACCACAAGAAGTACCTACAGCACCTGCATCAACTCTACCAAAGCATGTAACCATTGATCCCCACTCTGTTGATCATGGATCATTTTGCTTCTATGATAATCCAGTTATAGTTGAATCAAATCCAGCTGCTCATAAGATACCAGATGTTTCCTGTTACTCAGATATTACAAGTCTTGATGCCAGTTTATAAAGAAATAGTCAAAAGCTATCTGAGATGCATTCATTGTTGTAGAGACTGTACTCATGTCATTGTAAGATACATTGAAGCTATAAGCAATGACTGAATATATTTCTTGTTTGATACATATTATATTAGCTTTATTGTCTGCCTATTTTCATTAGTGAACTTGGTGATGTACATTCATAGATATGACTACATTCACTTATTACATATGTGATGACAGAAATGCAAGCACAACAGGAGACTGAAGTCAGAACTGAAGTGATATGTAGAAAATAAATAATATGGATCCATAAATAAAACATGCTCATCAATTCTTTAGTATAATTGAACTCTGATCTATCTATCTGAGCCTCAAGAATACCATCTTTATTGAAATTGCTCTCTTTATCTGTCCAGCTAGAGCCATCTAAGTCTCAGAGATGACACTCTCAATACCAATATCTTCCTTAGAGCCCTTCAACATGCAATAGCTATATCCTTTATCTTTCTCTCTCTCCTGTGGGGTCACCTCCAAGTCATCCTCTTGGATGCCACTGTCATAGGCACTATCTTCCTCAGAAGATGCTGGATTCTGATGGTCATATACATCATCTATCTCCTGCTGAGATTCAAGATTGATGCTGATCATGGAATCTTGCTGAGAGCTCTGGTCTCCAAAATGTGTCCCAAAGTGAAGTGAGCCTGAAATCACACTTCTCTGCCAAGATTCATCTGGGCAAGCATAACCTGCTGCAACATGCCCAACAAGAAGTGTTGGAGCAATTCCCTATCTGATGTTTGTCAGATATGAAGACTAGAAAAGATCATGAGCATACTTTTGTTATTCCTGCTAGATAATCAAAGTATCCCAGTATAACAGAATTATGAGAGAAAAAAGCTATATATAGAATCAAGCATATAGAATAAAAAGCTGATGATTCCACAAAGACTGCAATGATGTGATGGTAAGCTCTGATTCCATCTGCTTGACTTCCTCCTTGTACAACAGTGATGATATAATAGATGATGAGCACTATGCACCACAAGGTTGTTGCAAGAATAAAGAATGAATAAAGTACATCACTAATGATGTATTCCTTATAGTTGACCTCCATATAGTCTTGATACATATAAACAATTTTGAATGCTGTATCAACTCTTGCATAAATTGGCCAATCCTAAGAGATCTGAGAGATCTTACCAGTTGCAGAAAGAAGAAGTACAGAAGGCAGAATGCTCAGCCAGTGCTGACTCTAGACTATCCAATAGTGCCAAATCTATATTGGAATAATGGTAAGCTGCATTAAAAATTCTTGTTGTCACACACACCATAGTGGACTTTGCTAGAATAGTACAGATAATACCTGTTGTGCCTATACTAATCTTTTCTATTGCTCTAAGACTCTGAAAAAATATAAGTGCTGTCAAAAAGCTTTGGCCATTGACTATAAAAATAGAATGGATGTATGACCAATTGAAGGCAAAACCAATAATGGTCAAAATGTAGAGAAGGGTTATAACAATGGTGATGCCAATCTGTCTGATGTGCTGGGACTTGTTCATAACTGTGCCATTCACTTCAGCATTTAAAGCATAGTAGAGTTAAAATGTTCTTCTCACAGATATTCCACAGTGTGGTAGCAACCATTCCAGTATATAGGCCTATGTAAAGCTCTGATTAAACACATGTATCTGAACAAATGAATATACATACCATTTAATATAGAGAAGAGTATTATTGAATTCAGTTCAACATCAAGTATTTGGTATATAAAAGCTCTATTGATGTTGATCTGATTAGACATCAAGAAAGTCTGGGTGAAATGTGAAAGATAAGTGAGGGAGTAATCTGTGGATGTAACACATTTCGTGTCTCTCATTATATAGCATGCAGTAGCACAGCAATAAATCTGTTGCATTGCAACAATGAGAATGATTATCATATCAGGATCACTTTAAATGCTATTATGAAAGGTAAAAATGGGCACTATTCCTGATATCAAACAGCATTCAGCAATCTGATTATAAGATAACAGCATCTCAAAGTGTTTTAAAACCAACAGATGGTAGAAGCAAGTAATTGCTATAATAGGATACTTAATCTATTCATAGATACAAATATATAGGCTATTGCACTGCCTGATAAACTCAGTAAATATGTAGTCATAGTAGTTCAAGAACAGTAAGGTCTCAACTCCTGATATCTTCCTCAGATCCATCTTTCTATTTCCTCCATCCAGCATATACAGCCTGTACATCAAAGTTGAGGATGTTGGTTGCTGCTATCAAACTAAAGACCACTAGCTTGTGACAAAAATTTAGAATGAGACATAGAGAATAACAAACTGAGCTTGATTTTCATATTCACCTTTACACCTGCTTTGATATTAGTCTATGCACCAGCTGTAATGATATAAGAAGGCTTACATATAGATATTTGTCTCAGCAGGATCATAAGCACTGATCTGCCACAAGAAGTACCTGTGGAAGCCTCAAATACACCTGCATCAACTATACACAGCATATAACCATTGATCTCTACTCTGTTGATCATGGATCATTCAGCTTCTGCAATAGTCCAGACTTCAATTAATAGCAAAAATAGAAAGCTGCTTCAAATTATGCTGTTTATTATTGAAGCAGTTGCAAAAACTGGCTGATCAGAACAAGACAATATACTAATGAAGAAGAGAAAATCACTGAGGAGATAACATTCTTGATCCTGTTTGTTACAGGTATGAGCAGGTTCAATTCCCACTCAGAACATGATTGATTTGTTGTGTGTATCATTTTATACCCTAACATGAGGGGAGATTGGGAAGTGTGAGTTTGGCTAGCTAGAGAGAACATGACAATGCACAGTGTATAATCTACAGCACTATCAATTCCTAAGTCCCTGTAATGACAAATGCCAAGGAGCATGTCTAATGATAATCTCATTGGTCAAACCTATTAAGTAGAGAACAATGCAGTCACATAGGGACATTATTTCTCTCATCCATGTTTTTTTTGCATTGATATTTCACTATCCAGAGAGTGGGTTTTAGAACCAAAAGGGCAACCCCAGAGAGGAGGGGTAAGGACACAAAAAACCAGAGAGTGTTGGCTTCATCCCATGCTGCTGATAACTGTTATGATTTTTCTACTTTTTCTTCATATTAACCCCTATTCATGCTTAATCAGAGCACCTAGACCAGTGCTTTGGATCATGGGACAGGTTAGGTCATCACAACAAGCTGAGTCTGTCATTGTCTTCTGACGTGATGACTACCCTCAATGATGCACAACAACTCTTTTGTGGACACTAGCAATGCTCAAAGACAAAGAGCACAAAGACCTGGACAGATACAATAAGTAGTCTTATATTTATCACTGTTACGATTTTACTATTTTTCCTTTTTTCTTAACCCCTATTTTGTGCTTAGTCACGACACTGGACCGTGGGAATCTTGGTCAGCACAAGCCAATCCACCATTGTCTCAGAACAAGGAGACGGCGCTCGATGATGCACAACAAACCTTTTATGTACGGTAACGATGCCCTAGTACAATGGGCACAAAGGACACAGCAACACACAATAAGTAGTCGTATATTTAGGCATTACTCAGTAGTATTTAAGTAAGACAGCTCTCGCTGGTAATCCCCAGCTTCGAGCTAAAGTTTATACATACCATTCTACCTCGAGTCTACTTCTGACCTTGAGTCACTCCACGCGGGGACACATATAGTGAACTCAGGTGATTCCTCGAAGTGCGAAGGAACGCCTGTTTATCACGTGTTTATGCTCACGTGACGCTTGGGCTTAACAATTAGCTCGAAGCTTCTACCTTCCCTTTCTCAAGCCCAATTGTGCTGAGAAACCGAATGCCGCCAGTAACAACCGCCGACCTCAATCACGACTTCTTCGAGCTCATAGCTTCCATCATCGGAACATTGCTCGGACTCTTAGCCATTATCACCCTTTGCCGAGGACGACAATCAGTAGCAGCTTGGATAGTCAGGCACTATCAAGCGTTCCAGCATATTCAACAAATCCTACGCAACGTAACCCCAGACCTCCCTTTCCATGACATCCCCCCCTCCGCCAGAACGTCCTTCTTCCCGCAAGGGGGACCCGTACCAGAAGCCGGGAATAGCAACCCAGATCAGAGGAGCCTTCACGAGGAAGAAGGACCTGAACACCCCCGACGACACATCGGAGACCGTCACCCTGCTCTCACAGGGTTCCAGAACCCGTGGACGACGAACGTCGCTCAGGAGCCCACCGAGGTCTCCAACTACGTCACTCCAGCAGGCTCCCCCGAGCATCCCGCCTCCCCAATTCCCTCAGGGATTGGAAACCGTGCTCGGGACTCCCTTGATGCCGCTCGGATGGCTGCGGGACCCCGCGAAAGTCCCGACCCCGCCCAGAACCCCCCCAAGACCCCCACCGAACCAAACTCCGGCTCCAGCCCATCCGTCAGCAGGCTGGGGGTCGACAATCCGCGAGGAAGAGATATCCATCCCGACTACGACAACGCGGATATCGCCATCTCCGCGGCCGGAGACCCATATCGACACCTCCACGTGGGGAGTGAGCCCGAAACTGGGACCGCCAGTGAGAGGGGAAGGGCCGCCACGAGAAGGATCATACAGAGGATATTCCTGGAGTGGGACCTTAACGTCCTCTTCGACTACGATGAGGCGGTCAGACAGCAGCAGCAGAACGAAGAGCGAGAAAGAGACATTAGGCGAACTCAGGAGGAGCTTGCCGACTACGTCTGAGAGGAAGCCCAAGAGCAGTACGAAGCTGCAGAGTACGACCGACAAGGACGAGCACAAAGAAGGAGAGAGGAGATCGAGAGGATGGGGTCAGCCTCCCCTAGGGAGTATGAGCTCCGCACCGATTCCGGATCCCCTTTCAGGGAGCCCAACTCAGAGGACGATCCGTGGACAGGACCTGCCAGCATCGTCAGCTGGGACGAGGCCATTAGACGAGGGAGAACAGGGGAGCCCCAGACCGTCGACCTTGAATACCCCGCCCGCACCGACACCATCTCATCAGACGCCGACTCCGTCCTCGGAGCCTACGGGCTCCGAGTACCCGACAATGCCCACGTCTCCGACAGGGCTCTCCAGCGATTCCTGGGTAGCAGGGTCGCTCGACAGTTCCTTGATCCCGAGTTCCAGCGACTCTTCGGCCGCTATAGCCGAGAGTTGGAGGAAACGAGAGCGCGCGGAGGGACGCGCTACAGTCGGCTCCAAAGCCCTCCCATTGCTCGGACCAGCGACCGAGGAAACGACGGGCCCAGTACCCAAGTCAATGGAAGGGTCCCCGATGACCCTTCGTCCTCTCGCACCATCCATCTACGACCAGCCCGTCAGTTCCCTCCTCGAGGAAGAGGACAGCGGGGACGAGAGCGACGAGGAGGACGACGAGGACAGTGATGATCCATATCGGCGACGGCTGGAACGAGCAGGAGAAGACACAGACGAAGAAGCACTGCGAGAAGAGGTTGAGAGGGCCAGGAGCAAGGAATATCAGGAGTTGTACGAGCAGGGGAGAAATTATCTATGGCAGGACGTGCGCTGGCAAGCGACGTCCTTAGGACTTGAGTACAGGTATGCGGCAGGTACTGAAAAAGAAAAAATTCTACAGTATGCCGCGACAGAATACGCATGGAGGGAATATGGGCGACGGCACCCGGAAGACCCCCTCATGCCGATACCCCCGTATCGGCCCGACAACCAACCAAAGGCACCGGCACCAATGCCGCGTACCCCCCCCGTCCCACCAAGAAGAGCCATTTACGTCGCCCCCTCTATTCGGAGCTGGGCCGACGACAACCCGTCGGTCCGAAGTACGGCTTCACGGCTCATTCGCACAAGAAGTCGGCCGGCCTGGCATGCCGCTCAAACCCGAAACCCTTGGACCGGCAAAGGAAGCCGGCTCCTCGGCGGGCAGCCTCCTCCGGATCAAGCAGAGTCGAGTGGAAAGGACCCCATTCGGGATGACCCCGAGGCGGTCCGTCTCGGATTCACCGTACGGGACGGGGTGATCGTCCGGATCACCGACCCAAAGGGAAGCCCAGTCGCTGACGACAACTCCCTGCACTCCTTCCCCGGACCACCCGCGGAATGGAAGCAACCG